CTACTTGCCATCTTCCAAAATCTTCCCGATTGCCCACCACTTTTCTGGAGTTGTTTTTGGAGCCCTCCCAGTTTCCCCTCTCACTTTCCCCAAAAAACTGCCATCGAGCGAAGGGACGAGGTGGAGGGGGGGGGCGGAATGGAGCACCCAAGAAATAGGCAGAAACGAACCGAGGCAAAAGAATGTCTCACCTGTCCTCCCTGCGGCCAAATGGACCCCCTCGCAGTACATCCTCAACGGGCATTGATCAAAAGCAAAATCCTCATTCAAACGCAGTTTTAAAGGGAGTCGGATGTGTGCGGCGTTGCAGGTAACTGATTAACGCCAATCCTTATAAAAATCACATGTCCATGTAAAACGAGCTTTATGAATTCCTTGCAAGTTATTATCACAATCACATTTCATTATATATAACATGTAATTTATCGATCAACAGATTCTTATACTCCGTTTTATAATGACGACTTCATAGAAGAATGAGTAGATTTCAGAATAATCAAGTAATACACGGGGTCGTTAGCCTGGATGAGGGCCTGAAAATGGATTTGAACAGAAAAGTGATGAGCCAGGAATCCTTAACGCTGTTAAAATTCTCCTTCACCCCCCCCCCCCAACAAACGCAAGAAATGGTTCATTTTCAAGGCGTTTTCTTAAGAATTACTGCATACGTTGACCATATGGGCGGAGCCAGACCAACCAATGTACCATTTTAGTGAATATGTCGCTCTTTTCTCATACTGTGAAGAGAGACGTATCAAAGAAGGCACAATGGAAGGCCTGAGTCAGCTAACACAATCAGCGTGGACAACGCTTCGTAAGTCAAAAATGGGTAGGATCACTTACGTTTTCGCTTCGGTGACGGACCGACAGAGACGTCAGAGGAGTCGGAAAATTCGAGCTTTTTGACCGTAAGACCAAGACTTTCTCGCCTTCTTGAGATTCGGCGACGAAGTGATCTGAGAAGGCGATAATTTGATCGGCTAATTGGCTTTCTATTGATCCGTATCTAGCTTATTCAATGAGGACTAAGTTCGTGTGATTCCTTAGCCTTGAATGGATGGAAGGCTTGAGTAGCTTTTTTAATGGGCAGGACCACTTACCTCTTAAGGTCATGCTCTTGCCATATGCGAGAAGAATGGGTTGGTAGCTGTACAAGAGCAACACCTTCGTCACGTGAGAGCTCTGGAACGGTAGTGTGACCCGGTGCCATTTGTGACCCCGCCTCCTCTCCTAGCATCTGCGTCTATACGAAAATCCTGCAGGGAATACGCAGTCAGAGGTAGAGGAAAACTACCTAAGAGGGCTCAGACAGGTTGCGCGGTTGGGTACGATTAAGCATGTGGCGGGCCATGCTACAGCACATGCCTTATATAAAACGGCATCTGGGTTTACCCTCTAGTCCCTTTCCCGTGCACTTTGTGGCACGCTACTAGAGCTCGGCACTCATTCACCTCACACATGGCAAGAACGGGACCTTCGGAGGTATGTATCAGCGACACACTGAAAAGATACCGGTGCCGACAGGCCGAAGAAGATTCGCACGGTACTTCCTAGTTAGCTGTACTTCGGATTACGTGGTAACACTTGGCTTAAAGTTCGAGTTAGAGCCCTGACGCGGGCTACTGCGTGACGTCGGCCTATACGGCCCTTTGCAAACGAGGCCCGCACCGAAGCCGTGATTGGAAATCTGTGAGGCCACTTTTTTGATTTAAATACAAGGTCCCTTGAGATTTATCACGAAAATCTTGTTTCGCTAGTCGAATTCTCGTATATTCCTTTCCAAAAGTACCGCTTGTTGTTCAGGTATTGTGTCGACAAGCAAGGCTTTTGTTGATCTCAACCTGCGTTCAGTCGCGATAGAAGTAGGTACCAATCATGAAACCTGTTATTTAATTTATTATGAAAACTATATAAATTCATTAAAGTGCCAAGCTGTGCGGTGGCGCTGTTTATCGACGGGGCGGGGGCATTTTGTACTATCACTGCTTCCCTTGCTCCGGTTTGCAAATCTCACTTGGTAAACTTGTGAACGCTTGTAAAGCTGGAGCAGGATCGTCTAGCCACCATCCCAAAACGTGTCAACTCAAGAAAACGCTACCTAGATGGGTCGACACATCTATGGAAAGCAAAATGCCCCCCCCCCGTCGATAAACTGCGCCCTGTGCGGTTGTGCGGTTTGTTAAGGAAAGACTAGTGGCGTTAGGTAGCAAATCAATATGTTTACAGTATCGTACTCTACCGGTGAGGGCAAAGAGATCTGAGCTACGGCAACGAGTAGGAACCACAATCGTGTTCGCTGCGGATGCTCTCTGGCGTTCCATGGGGCTGGGCTTGACGTGGCTCCCGTCTGATTTCCAAAACCTGTTGACGTGAGCCAAACGATAACAGCTGATGGAGAACATATTGCAGCGCGCCAAACTCAAACCCCTAACGACGCTCCCAAATAGTCCCATGGTAAAAAGACCTCAGCACTGCCGCTCGTCACCGGTGGGACGATTCAACTGCTGGACCGACGCAGTTCTGCGCCACATACAAGATACAATTAGCCGCGCCACTCCTCGAATCTTCTGATCCACACTCATGCCTTACGCACCCCATACGCACTGGCTCAATCGTTGCTCACAACTAATATGCCCCCACCCCCCGATAGGTTACCCCGCCGAATTTGTTGAAGATCATTGACAGGTGTGGCAGAGGCTTTGTGTGAATTCCATTACCAACCAAAATCTTTTGAAGTAGCGGGCAGATTGAGTGGGCTCGGATGGGTTTGAAAAAGTCGGCAAAAGCCTGTATGTTAAGCTGATACGTAACCATCACCATTTCCACAAAGCCCACGCCTAGCGAGTGGGTGGAAACATGGGGAGAAATGGTCAACAATGAAGGCGGTGGGGAGCAGGGCACGTCAAACCTTGTGGAACCCCAGCGAGGGGGGGGTCGTGTTTGGTCGCTGGAGGGAGGGCGAGGGGTCTTATATGCTTTTGATAAAAATGTTTGCGGTTGTAGACTTTTCGAGGTTATTACCGCTTCACGTGCGCTATATACACCCCTCCTACTCGCCGGTCGAGGGGAGGGGTGAGGGAATACGAGGAAAACTGAAGGATAAAGGAAAAAAATCCAGAGTGGTAGAAATTGGGAGATACAGGGTAGGTAGAATGGGGGACCGCGAAGGGGGGGGGTTGTACCAGAGAAAAATTTCGAGAGGAGGGGTAGTACTTTGCAAACACCTTCCCAAACGGCAGGACGTGCCTCGTGATGTTTTAATGAGCAGAACAACGGCTGGCCGTCTCTGGGCATGTCTCCGCCCAACGATTAGAACGGTCCTTGTTTTTAAGTGAGACGTTCAAAAGTGTACGTTTTCTTTTTCGGATCAACCATCAATCGTGCCGGCGTACGACGTGTTCTCACAGGGCGTTTTACCGCAGCCTCATTGGAGGTTGTGGGAGGGAATGTTTTCGGGGTTCCAACTGACGGCTTGGTTTGACATATGGTCGTCGACGTAGTTGGCGCTCTCCTCGATACTGGTGACATCTGGACCGGCCTTGAGTGGACTGGAATTGGCGGAAACCCAACGCAGCGTGGCCGTGTCGAAGCAACACTAATATAAGTTCAGATGAAGAGCGTGCCACAGTTGGGCTTCAAACCCCAGAGAACATCCTCCTTGCGCTAAAAAACTCACTTTTCAGAACGACAGCTTGGTGAATCGTCGTCGCTGGAGTCTTCAAATCGTAAGCATGTCCTATAAAGTGCCCTTGTTTGGCAGAAAGCATCAAGCATCAGATTACTGACAATCTGCCAGAAAAATATGCTCACCTTACACCTTCCACCGTATCAGCTATTTCATCACGACGCAAATCCCTCAGCGGTACGCGTGGTTTGGAAAATCGCAGTGAAGGTGGATGAATTTCATCTGGAAGAAAAAACAACCTCTACCGGAAAGAAGGTACCCACCACAACGGTACTAATGGGGAGGACTTACCTTCAGAACTTCAAATCCCAATTTTGGTCACATGGACGCGGTTGGAGCTTCATCTGAACAGAATATGACTAGTGCTTTTTCCACAACACAATAGTAAGCGGTATTATTTCAACAGGAAGGAGGGCGCAGTTTGGCGACGCGAGGGAGGGGTTGGGTTCAATTTTGGACTGGCGGTTGTTTCCCCCTGCCTGCACTTGTCAGATCTTTTCCATGGTGGCTCCACGAAGTTCACACGTCTCACAGACGTGAGAAACCTACTAGTGCAAGCAAGCGGAAAAGCGAATGCCCTCGTCGCCGAAATGCCCCGAAGGAAGCGCACAGAGTGAAGAAACACCGCCCACGGCATAGCGCCGCCCACATTCATTTACATTGGAAAGAACATATGTTAAGTGCAATTGAGAAATACTAATCACGAATTGCTGACGCCATGAATTTGGGTTCAAATTCACACTTTGCATCTTTTATCATTTTCGCGTGGCATTCTCGTGTAGCCATGTCCTTCTGATTATGCAAGTCTGGCATGGCACACCATGTGTGCCAAGCGGCCACACGGGAGGGGAGCTGTTCCCTCACGTTCCCTCCCCCTTTTTTCATAACTGTTAACTTTATTGAGCAGATTCGCTTGAAGGTTATTCGGCGCTCTGACCATGAATAAAAACGAATGTGTCACGCAGGCGCAGCGGAGCAGAAAGCGTATGACACACCATGTGTGTCACACGGTCCAGAAATTGATAAATTACCTTTCGATTGGCTTCGATCCTCCTGAATGTGACCCTATCCCGTGTGTTCGCTAGAAGATCTTCATCGTTCATCAACTGACTAGTGGTGGGACGATCATGTGGATCTGTTCGAATTAATGATAGGATCATTTCACGCAGCTTTTGATGCATACCTAAATAAAGAAAGTTATGGGACGGAAAGGTCACGGACAAAACGAACTGAAAAAACCCAGAACAACAGAATTTATCGGTTACTTACTTCCGAATAACTCGTCAGACAATTCTCCGTTACGAACTTTGGGGCTCTGCTCTCGTAGATCGATTGTGGTCGCTAACTGTAAATGATACAAATGGCAGAGCTGTTCCGCTTGGGAAGGGCATTTTGCCCTTTCGCTGGTTCCTTTTTCGAGTTCATGTTAATTAACGGGTTATACTTCGGTGAGACCTGTGAACTCTTGTACAGCTGCGAAGTGGTCTACGTGAGCCTCTTTGCTTACAAGAATTCACAGGTCTTCACAAAGTGGTCTGAACTAGATTCGCTAAGTACAATTTGGTGCGCCTAACTGGCTTCCCAGAGCCTTTTCCCGACGAAAGAACATCGATTAACACCTTGGTGATTTCGCGTAATGAAACTGATAACTAAACCAGAATTGAAGGAAAAAGCAGAAGAAACCGTCCGAAATGCCCGAGATATGACCCTTGCCGATCATGATTTGTGCAAGAGCACATCGAAGGGAGCGCGTACTTGGACCAGTTCACTTCCTTCTTACAATGTCAATATCATCATTCAGAATGGAAAGAGTTAGTAGCGGAACAACCGCACACCCAGGAAGCCTTTAGAAATGAAAGTGGGGCGTTGCATTGGGCAATGGGCGGGGCATTGCCTCTGTCTCGGCCGCGTGGCATCCTTACAACGTATTTTTGAGCCGCAAACGTGATTCATCTTCTGTGCTTGCAGACGGGACTATCCCGTCCAAGGACGGCGTCTAGCCATCAAGTGAATGAGGGACGTGTCTTCAAGATGCCCAACGGTAAGCTTCCAAAGTAGTGATAAAATATGCTCCCGGGCGCAGAAGGTTAGTGATATTGCGCAGACGAGAACGGGTTCCAAAAGAATGGGCTGGTCTTCATAACAGTCTCAGGGGCGACTTACGAATTAAGCGAATGGGCGGAGACGAATAACCACCATCTCATCCTTGTAATACGACAGAAAGTAGTGGGAGGGCAGAGTGGTTATGGGTCTCCGCCCATCCGACTACCATGGAAAAGAATTAACGTCTGAGGCCATTTTGGACGATGCAGTCGTAACCTATAGGTACCTCTAGCAAAGACACTCCTAAGCTGTAAATATCTGCAGCGGTAGTAGGCGGGTCATTGAGGATCTCTGGTGCCATGTAGTGCTTGTCACCTTCTTCAGCCGTCTCGCGAGGAGTCTGGAAGGATTTCTATGAAACCTTAAGTGAAAGATATATAAGCAAAAAGGTACCTTATTCATATCAAACG